AGGCGTCTGTTTGCAACGAGAGTGTTGCATTGCTGTCTGGAAATGCGAGCGAGGTGGCTTGAGCGAGATGTTCCTTGACTCGTCGAAAGGATTGTTTGAGCTCGGAAGTCCACTCGATTTTCGCATTGTTGTTGCGTTTACGCCCAGAAATTACCTTTAGCAATAGTGCCTTTATACTTGCGATATCCTTTAAAAATCGGTTGTAAAAATTGAGCATTCCCAGAAATCGTCGAAATCCTTTTTCAGTAGCTGGTTCCTGGAAATCAATAATTGCTTGGACCTTTTCGGGCAAGGGCTTGATACCTTCGGCGCTGATCATATGTCCAAGGAAGGTGACGCTCTGACACTCTTCTGTCTGAACACGCATTTGTTCGGGTTGATCGCTATTCCATGCTGTTGCAGTCTGCCGAACAGAATCTTTAAGTGCTCTTTGTGCTGAGTTTCGTCCTGCGAAGCGATTAGAATATCGTCAATATAAATAAAACAGAAATCGAGTCCTACGGTTACCCGATCCATGAATCGTTGAAAAGTTTGAGCTGCGTTACGAAGTCCAAAAGTCATGTATGGAAATTCGAAAAGCCCGAATGGTGTGATGATAGCAGTTTTCGGAATATCTGATTCGCGAACTGGAATCTGCTGATATGCACGTACTAGATCGATCGTGGAAAATACGGTTTTACCATAAAGGAAATGTGTGCTGTCTTCAAGAAATGGAATTGAGTAACGGTCCGGAACGGTTACCTCGTTGAGCTTGCGCAAATACCAGAACGGACGGTTCTTCTTCTTAACCAGGTGCAGTGGGCTGGCCCAAGGGCTCTTGGAAGGCCTGCATAAACCCTGTTGCATCATATATTCGAACTCTTGCTCGGCTGCTTTAAATTTCTCCGGGCAGAGTCGTCTGGCTTTGCTTGACCGGGGGACCTGTTGTCTCGATGACATGTTCTACCCCATGTGCGGCTTGTTTATGCGTAACCGATGTTCGGGTTATCTCTGGAAACTCCTTTAGCATCTCTTTGAAAGGGCAGTCGTCAGCGAAGGCTGTCAGCTTTGGTACTGTTCTACAAACGAGCTGTGCGTTGACTTTGAGGAACGTGTCGCCATCAATCAGCCGCTTGTGTCGGATGTCAGACAGCAAATTATAACGCGCCAGAAAATCCGAGCCAATTATAAATGTATCCACTTCGGCGATGACGGCCATTGGAAAACTCTGCGGAATCCTAAGTCGAGTCGCAGTAATTTCTGTCCATATGTAGGGATGATCGTTCCGTTGGTTGCATAGAGCACCTGCTTTTCTAAGTGCGCAAGGTCGCGTCTTGAGGCAGGTATGGTCGAGTCGTCCGCCCCCGTATCCACCAGGAAATTGATGCCGGTGACGCGGTCTCGTACCATCAAACGGCGATTCACTACCGCCGAACTTCCTACCGTCGGGGATAGTTCGGCTACTGGTTTTCCTGTTCCGTTGACGCTTTCGGCTTCCAGCTGCAGGGTTGCGTGCATTTGACTGCGCTGCCGCCGAAGCGTTGATGATACCAGCACGGCTTGCTCTTGGATTGTGACTTAGAACGGCTTCTACGACGAGAATTTCGCGAGGCCCGTGACCTGTCGCGCGATAAATGAGCTACCAATTTAATCACCTGTTCAGTAAGCGTGGATATTTGCGAATCTCGCGTAATAATTTTCGTCGACGCGACCGTTGCGACGGCATTAGCGCCAGGGGAAAGCACATCCGTTATTCGGTCTGCTAGTTGCTAGCTCTTCGAGCTCGTGCTTGTCTGCACCTGTTGTGGTAAGCGCTGTAGCCACAAGGATTTTAGCATCTCTTCTGATGCGCCATTTTGCGCGAGATCTTGCATCCGACGGAGCAATTGCGACGAGCGACGGTCACCTAGGTCAACCTCGTTTAATAATCTACGCAGTTTCTTATCGGCGCTGTCCGCGAAGTTTCTCATTATCTATCTTTGAGCGTACCTATCCATCGCGGGCGGATTGAGTATGATATCGCTAACTTCGGACAAAGAGTCGTCGTCGAGGCATTGTATCACATAATTATACCTCGTGTCGTTTACAGTTATGCCTGCGGTGAGGAATTGAGCTTCCATTTGTACGAACCAGAGGTCTGGCTTCTTTTTCCAAAACGACATGGATCTAATTCCGATTCGCGAAAGCGCAGGTATTTCGATTATACGCGATGGTACGCCGCTGTCCTGATTCGCTCGCAGCGCCGCGACTAACGCTCGCGACGCCACACGGCGCATGGCAGCAGCACCTTCTGTATCTCGGCCGAAGTATCTAACAGTAACCATAGCTATGGATATGACCTTTTATAATAAGGTTATTGAACAACTTAAAGATTCAGATACATATTTGGTGATTAGAAAAAAATCCGGCAATGGAAAAAATAATTAAAAGAAGTAAATCTTAATAATATGTTTTAAAAATGGCATCAGAAGGGATTCATTTCGGCTAAGGAATTATGGAGTCTTCGGTCAAGTAGTTCTATCTTGCCGAAGGCATATGCTTTACCAAAAATACACAAGGAAGGCGTTTCCTTTAGAATTGTTGTTTCTTTAATCAACACAATTCTATATTCGTAAGCTAGTTTTTTGCAAGATATTATCTCTGAGAATATCCCTCCTGCAAACAGCAAAAAAAATAATAAATTAAAATAAAAAATAGCTTTGAATTTCACAATAAATTAACTGCAATGACGATTGACAAAACAGGAATAATGGTTTCATTAAATGCTACTTTCCAGTAAACATTGTTATATTAATGTTACAAGTGCAATAAATTAGAATGTTATAAGTATTATAGTAAACATAATTGTTACCAATAACATACTGGTTAATTGTAATTTCCCACTCATAAATATAACATATAATATAACAAAAGTTATATTTTTATTATATAATAAAATAATATTTATATTACATTACCATAAAGTAATTGCGTGCGTGCGTGCGTGCGTGCGTGCGTGCGTGCGTGCGTG